ATTAACTGGCAGAATGACATGAAATAAATGTCATGGTATTAAAACAATTATATTTACAGAATATGTAATGGTGAAACTGAGGAGAAAAAACAAGAAATATTAAACATCTTTGTCTTTACAAACGTTCTATTTTTCTTCAGAACAACAGAATTACAAAATTTCTGGATTTGCAATGGAGCTCACAGTGAGCTATGAGAGTTAATATAACTCACTCCAGTTTCAAGAATAATTCTTTAACAGATTATGTGGTTATCCAGTTTATAAATATCAAACTCATCTTTGTTGGAAGCCTATCTAGGTGACTAGTATCTTTTTGGCTGATATAGTTCTGGTCACACTAAAGGGACTCTTTCTGGTTCTTTTTGTTGTTTAAAGTACTTTTACATGCACGATTATGCCCACAGGTAACAGGAAACCAATGTTGCAAAATAAAACTTGATCACATTGCTAGATAACACAGGTATCCCAAACAAGTGTGTGAGCGCCTGGAGGCTCTACGCTGCTGCTGCCAGAGTACATATTTTTTTGATTGGTAAGAACTGTCAGATGACGCTTCATGAAATATAAATGCAAGAAAGACTCAGAGCACAATGAAAACCTTCCACTCGTCAGTCTGGGAGGATAAGAGAAAGACACTGTTTAGCAACTGCAGGAAATGGCTTTCGGCGTGCCAATATCTGTCTATCTTTTATTCAATGGTAGGTAATTTCTTTTTTTTCATTTTTTAACTTTATATCAATATAATAAGAATAGGATTTATTTTCTCTGAATCAGAGAGAAGCTGGTTTCTAATAGTTATTCTTTATGATGAAGATCAGAGCAGGGAATCTCTGGATTAATTTAATTTCTTATGCATTGTATGTTCCTCTCCTGACATGCTTGACACCTCTTTTTTGAGATCTCTGAAACATTTACTTTATACACTTGAAGAGTAGTTAATATATTTAACTACTCCATAGCAGTGTCCTTGTGATTGGATTAGATATAAATTTGTTCACCTTCTGTTAAAGATTATTGTGTTTCTATTTTCTATAACATTATGATTATTATAGAAGTCAGTAGAACTGGTATGAATGATAAACAGGAAGTTGCCCTAGTCAAGGTATGGATTTCCAATGTAAATGAATTAAAAATTGAACAGAAATAGAAATATACAGAATAAGAGTAACTTTAGACCTGTGGCTTGTACATAGAAGGAGGCTTGTGTGTTAAAGATGCCTTTCTACCCCCACCTCCCATTTGATACAGCAATGGCAGCATTTACTGAAGAGGCAGCCGTCACTGTAACACTGCCAATCAGAACCCAGCAAAGTAACTGGACAGTTAACAAAACAGAAGGTATTTCCTTTGCATTTTTGTATTTCAAGTGATTTTTTTTTTTAACTTTGGAGAGAATTCTGGATTCCGACAAAAACAATGTTAGAAAAACTTAAATATATAAGTTTCATTATTAGATAAGTCAACTAACTCTTTTAGCAGGATGCTGTTTGATGGAAGTGACAAGTAAATGTGTCATCAAATAATTGTCTTTTTTTAAAAAAGGAAAAGTAGGCCCATGAGGGAGATAACAATTGTCTTCAGTTACTGTCTTGACTGTGAAATGTTTTATATTTTCTGCTTGATTCCTGCTTGGTTTCCAATGAACCATGCGTGTCTAGAGGCAGATAGACCCATTTGGCCTTCTTGATGACTACCATAATATTTTGATCTGATTGTAAGCTTTTCAGCCAACGAAATTACAGATTCAAAAGCATTGGTCCACTTTCCATCATCTTTGAAAAGATTTTATTCTTTTTGCTTTTGTTGTTGTATGTATGTCTGTGTATGTGAGTGAATGCTTTTTTAGGGAGTACTTGTTGTTTTAGCATATGCTATATTTCCTAACTACCTGTAACCCAATTTTTGTTCTTGATGTGATTATATGTTTGTTTGTTTTTTTTTTCTATTTTGTGATTATTATTACAATGACTTTTGGCTGCTGTTGAGCATTAGCATTTTTTTTCAAACTTGTTCAAACTCTTAAAGGTGAACTTGGAAAGCTTTGTTACCTGCCAAGACCTGTGTGGTTATGATCTTACACAAGCAAATCACACACTTCCCCCTCATGTAAAGCCAGGCAAATAAAAAAGATCAAGTCAAATATTATGTTTCTGAAATAATATGAAAGATAGTAATATTTAAGCAAATGAGGTAAATTCCTCATTTCAGTAAAATTTTTAAATTTTAAAAGATTTATTTTAAAATGTGGTACCCATTTCCCCCCCCCATATATATCAATTTTCAAACAAAATCAATCTGTAACTTAGAATAATGTTAACTGTTAAGCCTGAGCCATATGTCACTTCTAGTTTCTTGCATAGATCCTAACAAATACTTCTGGAGTAATTTAAGGAAAACATCCCTTTTCAATCAACTACTCATGGCAATGTGGAAGAAGAAAGAGAAATTTCTCACACTCTTCTTACTTATAGAGTTCATTATATCACAAGGGTAAATCTGAAACTTCCTAAATTCTGACTTTCAAGTGTAAAGAGGGAGAATGGAAAGATTGTATGAAATTGTCTATATTTATTCACATTCTGGGAACATTTGGGAAGCATTACTAGCAATGACCTGCTAAGAGTAGATTCAGTGCTGCCACCTTTTGGCAAACTTGTATCTCTATATATTATTATATGGCTTCTAAAGAATGGAACAGTCATCAATCCACCTGCATCACCTAATTAATTATGTATGTCTGGATGATATTAATTCCATCTCTGTGAATATAACCTGCCAAGGGGAACAACAATTCAAAGAGAGATAACCCAAAGAAAATCTTTAAAAGAGAAGTTCTCTCTCCATATGTGTTAAGAATCAACCATAAAAGTATAACCCACTGCATCTGTTACTATTTCCTAGCTGATTATACAGAAGGACCTATCGCCTTGAAGTTCTTACCTCCTTGCCTGGAAGACCACAATAGTTACTGCATCAATGGTGTTTGTGCATACCACCATGAGCTGGAGAAAGCTATCTGCAGGTAATTGCAAAGAACTTTTCAGGTTCTAAAGACAGAAGATGAATTTGTGCCTCTAGTATTTTATATGGCATATTTTCTCACCTCTGTCTTATCTAGTGAAATGGACAGACAACCTGAATCCTCTTTGTATTTGAAATATCTAAAGAACATTTTCCTATGATACTAAATCCTCATTTTTCAAAAGTAAGACTCCCAGATTGGCAGCATCTGTGAAACCTGAGAGCTTATTAGAATCTCATGCTCCATCCCAGATTTACTGAATTAGAATCCTTATTTTAACAACATGTTCAGGTGATTAGTATGTCCTTTACTGTATTGAATATTTAAAACATCAAGACAAAAATCACCCTAGGAGATAGGGGCAAGTGTTTTTTATTCCACTGGTGGCTTAGTGCCTAAGGCACTTGACTGCTAACCAGAAGACTGATGGTTCAAACCCACCAGCCACTCCCCGGAAGGAAGGTTGAACAATCTACTTCCGTAGTGATACCACCTCAGAAACCCAAGGAGGGGTCCCCTATGAGTCGGGTCTGACTCAACAGCAAATAACAGCAACAGTAATATCATAATTTACTAAACTTGCTATTAAATTACTGGGGGATCAAGATTCTAGTCTTGTTTTCTGTGACTTTGGCAATATACTCCACTGTTATAACCCCCCACTTGTATTTCCCCGCTTATATTCAAACTTTTCACAGGGTTGTTCATAGGATGAAATGAAATAGACTATGGCAAAACACTTCAGGAATATGAAAGTCTAGAACAACATAAACTAGTTGCTATTAAATTGATTCCAAATCATGGCGACCTTATGTGTGTCAGAGTAGAACCACGCACCATGGTTTTCAGTTGTTGATGCTCAGAAACAGACAGCCAGGCCTTTCGTCTGAAGTAACTCTGGGTGGATTCAAACCACCAACCTTTCAGTTTGCAAACATCCTTCTATGAAAGAGTTGTTGTTGTTATGTGCCGTCAAGTTGGACCCAACTCATAGTGACCCCTTCTTGGGTTTCCGAGGTAGTATCCTTACAGAAGTAGATTGCCCAACCTTCCTTCTGAGGAGTGGCTGGTGGGTTTGAACCTGCAGCCTTCTGGTTAGCAGTCAAGTGTGTTAGGCACCACGCTACCAGAGCTCCTTATGAAAGAGAACACTAAGGATTTTACAGGCCAATTCATGTGACCATATTACCTTTCTCCTCTACCCATGAAAGAAGGTGCATTAACATGGGGGCCATCATGAAATACTTATTATAAAACAATACCTTTAACAGATTGACTTTCATTTGGCATTTTGCCTCTCCTACTCAAATTACTAGGAGCTCTAGTAGTGTAGTATCTAAAGCATTGACTGCTAACCAGAAGGCTGGGGGTTCACACCCACTAGCCACTTCTCGGAAGGAAGGTTGGGCAATCTACTCCTGTAGTGATACCGCCTTGGGAACCCAAGGAGGGGTTGCTATGAGTCAGGTCTGACTCCAGGACACATAACAACAACAACTCAAATTACTTACTTTCCATCCGAAATGTTTTCTTTCTTTGAAATTGGTCATTTCTTTGTACTTCTGTTGTCATGGGTTTTAAAATTATACGTTGTTTTCTCTTTTTTTAAAGGTGTTTAACTGGTTATACTGGAGAAAGATGTGAGCACTTGACTTTAACTTCATATGCTGTGGATTCTTCTGAAAAATATATTGCAATTGGAACTGGTGTTGGATTACTGTTAAGTAGTTTTCTTGCTATCCTGTACTGCTACATAAGAAAGAGGTATGAACAACACAAAATATGAATTTAACTTGGCACTCATTCATTTGACAAATGAAGGTTGAACCCTTACAATGTGTCAGGCATTGGCATGTATAAATTTTTAGTGAAAATCTGGCATAAATATGCTAGGTTTGTACATAATATTTGTTTTGATACCTTTTCTCAAAAGCTCAAAGAACTGATCAAAATCTATCTTCAATTGTAATAGGATAGTTCCAATTTACAGATTCCCTTCATCCTCATCTCTATCTGCCTACATCAAAGTTATAACTGAAAAGGTCCATAAGCCTCCTGGGGAAGGGATTACAAAAGTCTTGTTCTCAATCACATATTCAGTGCCAAAGCTTGGCTGCCAAGCAAAAGGTTGATGATTCAAATCCACCAGCAGTTCTGTGGGAGAAAAATTGTGGTGCTTTTCTCCCATGAAGATTATGGGATCTGCTCCCTAGAAAACACTATGCAACAGTTCCACTCTGTCTTATAGGTTTACTATGAGTTGGTATCAATTGGACAGCACACAAGAACAACAACATTGTGGTGCCTAGCACACAATAGACACTCAGCAAATATTTGTTGAATGAACAAATCAAGAAATGAGTATTAAGTGAATGAGAATGTAAAACAACCACAGCCACTTTCTTTCCAGACATCATTTGGGATATTCAGGAGATACTTTCTCCTGCTAAAAACCTAAGAAGATAAATTTGATCTACTAATACTCCTCGGAAGGAAGGTTGGGCAATCCTACTTCCGTAGTGATACTGCCTCGGAAACCCAAGGAGGGGTCGCTATGAGTCGGGGCCGACTCGACGGCACATAACAACAACAATATATATACACAGGAGTTCTGGTAGCATAGTGCCTAAGGCACTTGACTGCTAACCAGAAGGCTGGCAGTTCAAACCCACCACCCATTCCTTGGAAGGAAGTTTGGGCAATCTACTTCTATAGTGATACTGCCTCAGAAACCCAAGGAGGGATCGCTATGAGTCAGGTGCTACTCAACGGCATACAACAACAATATATATACACATATAAATTACTTATACATTAACCCTGACTTTTGGTTTTTCTACTTTAGTGCTTTTTCCTTAAATCCATGTAAAATGTCAGGAAATAGTGTTATATACATTAAAGAAAAATACATTTCCCTTGCTATGCTCTATTAACTCTATTCAGAAACCAAAAGCTGACTTAAAGGATAAGAAAGAAGGAAAAGACCAAAATGGATGTCAGAAAAGACTCTGAAATTTGCTTTTGAACATTGTTGTTGTGAGATGCCATTGAGTTAGTTCCAACTCATAGCAGCTTCGTGTGCAACAGAACACTTCCCAGTCCTGCACCAGCCTCACAATCATTGCTATATTTGAGCCCATTGTTGAAGCCACTGTGTCAATCTGTCTTTGTGAGATTCTTCCTATTTTTCACTGACCTTCTTGAATGTAGACTAGAAAAAGAGAATGGAAAAAATGATGAAGTAAAAGAGCTGAGCAGAAATTTCAAGAAGATAAAGTATCATAATGAAATGTGTAAAGACCTGGAATTAGAAAACCAAAAGGGGAGAACACACATTTCTCAAGCTGAGAGAATTGGAAAAAAAAAAAAAAAAATTCAAGCCTTGAATTGCAATAAGGAAGGATTCTTTGGACAAAATATTGAACAATGCAGGAAGCATCAAAAGAAGATGGAAGTAATATACAAAGTGACTGTGCCAAAAGGAATTGGTCATCATTCAACTCTTTCAGGAGTCAGTGTATAATTAAGGGCCAATGATGTTGAAGGAAGAAGTCCACACTGCACTGAAGGCATTGGCAACAATAGAGACTCCAGGAATTGACAGAATACCAATTGAGATGTTTCACCAAACAGACACAATGCCAGAAGTACTCACTTGTCTATGCCAAGAAATTTGCAAGACAGCTACCTGGCCAACTAACTGGAAGAGATCCATATTTATGCCCACTCCAAAGAAAGGTGATCCAACAGAATGCAGAGATTATTGAACAATATCATTAATATCCCATACAAGGAAAATTTTGTTGAAGGTTAGTCAAAAACATTTGCAGCAGATGTCAAGGAGGAACTGCCAGTAATTCAAGCAAGATTCAGAAGAAGATGTGGAACAAGGGATATATATCACTGGCACTTGACTGCTAACCAGAAGGCTGGTGGTTCAAACCCACCAGCCACTCCTCAGAAGGAAGGTTGGGCAATCTACTTTTGTAGTGATACCACCTCGGAAACCCAAGGAAGGGTTGCCATGAGTCAGATCCGACTTGATGGCAGTGAGTTTGGTTTTTGCTGGATATCAGATGAATCTTGGCTGAAATCAGAGAATATCAGAAAGATATTTACCTGAGTTTATTGACTATGCAAGTGGATTCATTCCACAGTGTGGATCATAACAAATTATAGGTAACATTGCTAAGGATGAGAATTCCAGAACATGTATTTTTGCTGATAAGGAACCTGTACACAAAACAAGAAGCAGTCATTTGAACAGAACAAAGAGATATTGTATGGTTTAAAAACAAGGAAACATGTGAGCCAGGGGTGTATACTTTCACTATACTTATTCAATCTTACTGAACAAATAATCCAAGAAGCTGGGGTATATGAAGAACACAGAATCAGGACTGAAGGAAGACTCATTAGCAACCTGTGATACGCAGATGACACAATCTTGCTTACTAAAAGCGAAGAGGACTTGAAGCACTAATTGATGAAGTTCAAAGACTATAGCTTCAGTATGGATTTCTGAATATAAGAGAGCAAAAATTCTCACAGTTGGACCAATAAGTAACATCAAGATAAATGGAGAAAATACTGAAGTTGTCAAGGATTTCATTTTACTTGGACCCACAATCAACACCCATGGAAGCATCAGTCAAGATATCAATGACATATTATTGTACTGGACAAATATGCTGCAAAAGAACTCTTTAAAGTGTTAAAAAGCAAATATGTCACTCTCAGCACTAAGGTGTGCCTGACCCAAGCCCTATTTTCAACTGCCTTATATGAATGTGGGAGCTCTGGTGGCATAGTGCCTAAGGCATTTGACTGCTAACCAGAAGTCTGGTGATTCAAACCCACCAGCCACTCTTCAGAAGGAAGACTGGGCAACAATCTACTTCCATAGATATACCGCCTCAGAAATCTATAGAGGGGTCATTATGAGTTGGGATCGACTCAATGGCAGTGAGTCATTTGCATGTGAAAATTGGACAATGAATAAGGAAGACTGCAGAAGAATTGATACCTGTGAATTATGGTGTCAGCAAAAAAAAATTGAATGTACCATGGAGTGCCAGAAGAATGAACAAATCTGTCTTGGAAGAAGTATAGCCAGCATGCTGCTTAGAAGCAAAGATGGCAAGACTTCATCTCTTGTACTTTGGTCATGTTACCAGAAGGGACCAGTCCTTGGAGAAGTATATCATTCTTGGTAAGGTAGGAGGTCCGTGAAAAAGAGGAGGGCCCTCCATGAGATGGATTGACACAGTGGCTGCAACAAAGGGCTAGAGCATAGCAATGATTGTGAGGATGGAGCAGGACCAGGCAGTGTTTTGTTCTGCTGTACATAGGGTCCTTGTACATAGGATTGTGATGATTCAGAACCAACTCAAAGGCACCTAACAACAACAATTCTATTAATTAGATTGCCATTTTTTAAATGACCAAGATTGCCCACACAACAGAAAAATTTGATTGTGCTTAACAGTTACACCTCTGAAAGAATCAAATATGCTGTATCAATTTTGAATTTGCCTAAGGCAGCAAGAAATAAAAAATAAAAGCAGAGCTAAGTCCTTTAATGGTAATAAACCAGATGTCTGAGGTCAGATTCTTTGGAAGCAGAGCCTAAGATGGTACAAGTGATTGGTTGAAGGTGCTCTCTACCATGAAACTTATTAGAAGTAAGGAAGGTAGATAGATCAGAGAAAGAAACTAAGTGAAGAGGTAGCTTTAGCTGAAGTCAAGCTTCAGCCTGATTCCACAGGGAGATGTAGAATGTGAATGACATCAAAAGACTGCCTTAACAAGGCAAGGAGACTTAGTTTTCAAATCCCCTATCAGTCAGTCATTGACCACAGGATCCTCTGGCAGAGTGGAAGGCCAAAACCAAAAACCAAACTAGTTGCTGTCAAGACAATCCAACTCATGGTGGTGCCACATATTGCTGAGCAGAACTGAGTTCCATAGTGTTTTCAAACATGTGAGCTTTTGAGAGCAGATGACCAGGCCTTTCTTCCAAAGAGCCTCGGGTTGAGTTTGAACCACCAACATTTCAGTTAGATTTTGAGTGTGTAACTGTTTGTACCACCTAGGATTTTCAGGAACTTGCAAACTTCCAGGAATCTCCTGGCAACATGCTCACTGGCTAAGAGGAATTTTCTGGAGTGGGATACTGCTGTGAGCCTTTCAACACTCACAGCCCCTGAGGGATGAATCCACAGTTGGGTAAAGGGTAGAACACCAAAAGCAAATGCTACACCAGCACATTTATATAATACCCAATAATCTATAAAAACAGCTGTCAAATTCACATGAAAACCAATGCTCTCTTTTAGGTGTTTAAAACTGAAATCACCTATGTTCCAGAGGGAGACGAATGTGAGGCTTTTGTAAGAAAATTTCATCAAGATATTTATAAAAATAAGTGCGTCCAAAACCGAAATCTTCAGATGAAACAACAAAAGTTCTCAAGCTGCCTAGACCTGAAAAAAAATCGAACTTGGGATCACAATGAGATGGGAGGACAAATTTCATGGAAGTCAAGTGAGCAAGCTACAGTTTGTCTTTGGACCTCACACTAGAGTGCCATGGGAGTCAAGTGAGCAAGCTACAGTGACAGAAGTCAGATTCATAGTCCTACTCTGGGTTTGCTTTATTGTGTGTTTACTGTTCTCACTGCAGAAAGACTGAGTTTTCGGCTTCCGACTATGGCAGATAAAAATTTTCACGGGAATAATTATCAGCCTTGCAGCAAGCTAAAGTAATGCCAACCTTGGGTTCTTC